CTTTGTTCTAGTTCAGCTTACGCACTCTACCATGACTTCCCCCAATAACTTCGCTCACCAAGCCCTCTCCCTCGACAGGAAGCATCATTACCTACTCGAGCTGTGTAATATCGTATCTTATCAGTATGAGGGGCAGCAGATCGACTGTGGAGAAGTAAGACCTACCCCGCCCCGCAACTCCAACCATTTGACTGGCTGAGCTGGGAAGCTTTTGGCAGAGATATGTGGTTTATAGCGTCTCTTCAACAACCCAACACAAGACATGTCGCATGTCTCGATTGGTCTAGTGGTCAGGATACCTGCTTGTCACGCAGGTGGCCGGGGTTCGATTCCCCGATCGAGAGTATCTTTTTCGTGTTTTTCCTTTCTGATGATTATCGAGATTAACAACGTGCGTCGTGATGGTTAGCATATCGACGTGTTTTTTCCCCTTGATTCAATACGTCCATATTATTGCAAATGCTCTCTCCCGAAACTATGGTCGAATTTTAGGCAAATATTGTTGTCTCATGTTTCATCCTCTTTTTGTAATAGCTCCAAACAAATCTCAGGTCAGGAGTGGGATTTTATCCGAACTCTTCCAGGACCCAACACGCTGGACGGCGATCACCAAGTATCGATGCGCATATCAGGGGGCCTGGATTCGCACAATTTCTCCGTTCCCCGGAATTTGTCATTCTACGGTAGTACCGCCGATATCCTTCATCCGCCGGAGAGATTGTAACATTCTCAGGTCGCTTCCGCCGCCTTCCTACCTAGCCAAGGCACCCTTGGTACTAAGTTATACTCGAAGCCTGCTTGAATCCTGCACCATGCGCGTCGGGGTGGTCAAGAGCATCGGCTAGAGCACCTCTTTGTCCCCTTTTCACACCCTCGCCGCTTTACCTGCCCGTCTCGTATCGGCCAGAAGTCAAAGTATGCCTTTGGCGGCTTGAACTGTCGAGCGAAACCCCGTACTCAGCCGTGCCATATCATCGTTGCGGCTATCCTTGGATCAAAAGCTGCAGGCTGCTTGTGGCCCGCCAGGAACCGCTCCTGGGCAAGGTGTCTAGAACCTTGACCTGTCTCTGCCAAGGAAGAGTACAGAATACCTACATGTACGTCTGTATTAGGTATATACATGCCTTATTATTCACCACCTTGGCAGCCTGGCAGCTTAGATCAACCATCAAGGCATGTCTGACGGGATCTACCGCTACCGCTACGGGATACGGCCAGGCATCCCAAGCGTCGATTACCTTCATCGCTCATCTTCCTTACCTCCTTGGGATGCAACATGATGTGACCATCGTCTCTTAGTCACCCCATGTTCGTGCCTCTTATGGCTTCTCCAAGAGGCTGGTGACAGCTCTACTTGCGTGCCTACGAACATACGTGCACAGAACCCGAGAACTTACAGATACAGGACGGTCCTGGCCATACGCTGTCCCTCGCTATTCGTCTTGTCGCCATTCACGAGCATATACACTCACCAATGAGCAAGTGCCCAAAAAGATCATCCAATGATGGACCAGGATTATTACGGCGGATTGGCATACGATTCGCTAGAGTGACATGGCTCCAAACCGCCAGCTAAACCAGCAAAGGATTTGAATGCAATATACCAGCATGCAGAATTTTGGGTATCATCCCACACACCTCCGCAAACTACCGGCCAGCAAGCATCGACAGCCAGGTAAATATATTGATTACGGCCAAGCGCATAGAATGTAGGTACCCTCTACATGGCTGTCTTGGTAGGTGTTATATACGTACATCACGTAGGTGTCTAGATGATGTGTGGGCGCTGAGCTGGAAAGCCTCCAAGCCACCAACGATTTGAAAAAGAGGTTAGGCGTGCTATGAGGATCCCACGACTCCGCATCCGTCGTACGGTGGATGCAGCTACTATGTGCATGACTAGCGCACGGAGCCGTGTCCAAATCATCTTACATGCCGCAAGGGGCGTGATATTCGGCATCGCGATGCCGTCGAAGGATGTTGTGAAACAGGAGGTGCAGAATCGAAGCCGGATTCATGGCGGGACGAGGCCGATCACGACGCTGTGCGACGACAAGATTTGGAATGAAGAGGCGTCCTTCCTGTGTCGACACTGGCCCAACATCTCCTCTTCCCCTTGGGGAAAAACAAGCCACTCAGAACCTAGGACGAGCTCGACAAGGTCCATGCAGAGCTTTTCTCAGCGCGAGCCAATATGCGGACAGAACGCCGATATAACCAGGCTCGCCGGGCTCGCGACGCATGTCCACCAGCTGCATACAGGCATACGAAGGACATCCTTTCGCGGACTAGACTCGCTTAGGGTTGCATGTAACTGATGTACGACCAGGGCCGCGGCAGGGATCCAGCCGCCATTGTACCCCCCTCTGTTTCTCCAGATGCTCCCTCATTTGCCAAAGCAGCCAAAGCCCATCTTCACGGCGACCCTACCACGCAGCCAAGGTTGCTACCCATCACCGGCGCCCGTATGTGCTATGGCACAATACAATGCGAATACATTGTCCCGTACCGCGAGCGTGCCATCGAGCACCAGACCGCTATCTCCAACATCCACAAGAGAGCGTTGCAGTGCGTCTGAGATCCAGCTCCGGGTAAATACTGCTACCGGAAACACGCTCTGGTCCTGTAATCCTATGTATTCACAGGCTACAACAAGATCTTACAGCATGGAAAATCAGGGCTAGTCAAAGGGAGTCGAGGTCACGCAGCCGCCAGAATTCGGCTTAGCGTCTCCCTTGTCGTCGAAGCTAGGGAAAGCCTCTCGACGGCATGATGACTAGCAACACGATGGCCAGATAGTCAGTCAAGTGACGGGAACCAGTACCGCTCGCTACCGTCGGCGAACCCTGGCACCCATGTCTGCCCATGCTACCTTGAAATCGTCTTGCCTTGACTTGGCCCGAGACGGGCGCGCTCCCCACGGGCTGCTGCCCCGGATTTTCATTAAGAACAGACGACCTCCCTAATACGGCTCGATAGTGTGGGATTGCCATGTCCTTCTCACATGCAACCCGTTTATTTTTACTTTCCGTCGAGAACCTTGATATCTCTGCCTTGAAAAGTCCTCGTCTTCGCTCTCAAGGTTCTCTCCAAACTCCAAACTTCGTGCGGATCTCCCGGACCGACAGCGGATACTGCGGGCATCGTTGCTGTCTTTGTTCTCGCCCGAGGAGCCGAGTAAGAGTTTATGAGCAAGTCACGCGCGCCACATGGGATGATATATCCAAAAGTCGAAGAGACCCTACCCTCGCTGAGAAATCGAGTTCGCAGCCATCTCTTTCGAAACGTTCTCTCGCCCTTCTAGATTTCTAATTCAGTACGGATTAGTAGTCTCGGCCTTTAGATATTCCTTGCCCTTTCTCATTATCATAACAATACGACCTAGACAATACTCCTGGAGTCTAGAATCCTTTACAACGCCTTCTCTTTAGAGCTCTTCGGAAAGAGTAGGACACAAAATGCAGTTCACCATAGGCCGTTCGACGCACGGCCACCGCGCGCCAAGCCAGAATATTCAACCGGCTGTCAAGCCGGAAGCACTTAAGCAGAGCCACACGAAGCAAAACCGGTACGGCAAGTCACAGCCTTTTGATCCTGAAGATCTACGCCAGCGACTCTTCGTAGTCATTGCGGAGCAGGAAGCGTTGAAGGAGAAGCAACGGCGAGAAAGATTAGAAGCAGCAAAATCAAAACAAGATGAGGGTCTAGGAGCATCTACAGACCAGCCAGAGGCAGATGCAGTGGACATAACCGTGCCCGACACCGCGGCTGCCAAGCCGGAGGATACCGACACGAGCTTCGCCGCAAGGGCAGCGAGAAAAGAGAGGAGGCAAACAAATATGCCGTCCAGTGAAACTATACCCAACCCATCAGATGCCAAGATAGGACGTTCTATGTCAAAATCTATCCACGATAAACTGCGGCGTAGACCCTCGAGAATGGAGTCGACCGCCACAAATATGGAGGGTACCGTAAAGCCCCCGTCTTATCACCACGTCCCCCAAGAAGCAGCCTCGCAATTTGCGAGGACGGCGACGTCCAATGGCATGCTCGACAAGCATCTCGTGCACAGCCTGTCTCAGTCAGCCCTCAAGTTCCACCTGGAAGGACGGATCTCGGACCAGATCGAACTCGAGTCGAGCACGACGCCGGCGCAGCAGACCCGCGCGTTGAAGAGGGCGCAGAGCCACCGGGAAAAACTGCGGGAGAGGAATCAGTTCCAGTACCCGCGCAAAGCAGTGGCGCCGGTGGACGAGCGCGGAAGCAACCCGGAAGACGGCCGTCGTCACCACCACCAGCCCAGCCACCGGCACAGCGTGGTCGGGCTCGCAGCGGCCACCAAACCGCCGACGTCGTCACGGAGGAAGGACAGCTTCGGCAACATCCCCGAGGACGACTCACCTGGCGACGAGCTCGCGTCAGAGGAGACGCTCGTGGCGGACCCGGCCGAGCACCGCGTCGACTGGACGCAGAGCGATGAGCCCTACGCGAAGCCGCGGCCCGTCCGCAACCCGCTGCTCCGCAAGGCCGACTCCATATGGACGCTGAAGCGCCGCCTGGGCAAGAGCGGGCACGCGCGCGACGACAAGAGGTTCCCGGCGCCCCGGGAGAAGCACGTCGACGGGCCGGTCGTGCCCTTGTCGCAGCCCAAGACCCATCGGCTGGCGTTCTTTGCTAAGCTGAGGCGGGTGGGATAGATGGATATATATATCTGTCTATCTCGGCTTACGGTCTGCTGGTATTGAGTGATTGATGTTGATATAATACCTTAATGACTAGACGTATAACGACTAGGGGAAAATAATATATCGGACGTATCCAAGTCATTGCTTCAGCTCGGGTTACCAGAACGACCTTCATTGACGACTAGTCCATCTACATCACTGCTTCCTAACATGTGACTCAAGGGGTCCAGATCTAGCTTGAGGTTATACCGTAGTGGTGAGATGCTTTCCAATAGATAAAAAGGAGAAAGGAGTGTGGACGGCAAGAAAAATAGATGGTCCCGGCTGGAATCGAACCAGCATCTCCTGTGTATTCCAAGGCAGATAGATATGCTTCAGTTAAGGCGGGTAAACCATTACCCCACGAGACATTACTACTGTGAGATTCGCACATTGGTAGTCTCTCTTTTTGCTATTTGCTCATATATTTGAACCTGATACATCTTGGGAAGCTGGAAATCATGTTTCAAACACTTTCTTCGATGTTTGTATTCCCTATTCATTGTAGATGGAACTTACTGTCGCTGGATTAGTGAGTGGGTAACATTGTTTGAACAGTCAAAACGGTTGCTATGGGTGGCTGGACAACATGCTGGGCTCCTTTCTCCCGTACTCTTACATTGGCTCTTGGCCAATGGGTATTCTGGTGAATCAGTCGTCTTGCAGGTGTTGAGCTACATGGATGTTGGGCAGAAATCTCGTCGTTACGTGTGGACTTCACTCGATCATGAGCTCAGGCGTCCTGTCAAACATATGGAATCTTCACTTTACCCACGCACAGCAAGTATACAACACTGAGGGGGGCAATGACGGATATCAACTTAAGCTCGATACTATGCTCAGCGATGTCTCAAGGGCGCAGACTTGTTATTCTCACCATAGACGGTGAAGTTGATAATATACTCCTACGCCACCGCGTCTCTACACCAGGCTAGCTATGCCAGAGGGCGGTGTTAGGTTTAGTCCGCAAAGGCCTTGATCAAGAAGCGTTGGCCTGGAGGGAGGTCCGTATAATCTCGCTTGGGTAGTTCTGAGACGATGAACCAAGGTGTCAACAAGAGATGTAGAGCGCCACTCCCAAGTGACCGCCGTTTGAATATAAGAATCTGATACTCGCACCTGATGTAGAGGGTACCTCTAAGTCAGGGTGTATATCTCAGAATAAATTCGCAGACTTCCCATAGCTGTATACAATGTCATAGAAACGGCGGCAGGAGTCTACTTCTCAGCTGCAAGAGACAGCATCGAGGTGATATGTGCCCCTATCGCTGGCCCCATCCAAACCAACAAGGAGTCAAATTGCATTGTGTGAACACCTCTTACTAGATACTAGATCTTACTTCATAAGAGCAGGTCTTCAGTAGCCGGCCGGTGCTCAGGTAGTCCAGATATATTTGGATTGTCTTTAGTTGGAATTGCACCTTTTACATGTAGGCTCCTACCCAGCGGGAAAATACCCCTGCTCATGATAAACTATCCTGATGAGTCTAATACAACAGCACCGAGGGCATTATCCAATCCTAAAGTGACATAGCTACCCGGGAAGTGTAGAATAGTAACGATGATTTGCTCTATATTGTCCGGCTACCTACGCGTCAGTGCCGTGTACGAATCAAAGAAGGGAGAGAAGCACCGGTCCCAGAAGCCTCCTCGAGGAATGACCGGGCGCTCAGTTAATCTAGGGGACCCCCTATATGGCAGAGGGGGGTTACTATGCTAGATTTCATAGCCGAGTGAGGGCCAGGATGCTTGAAGACGAATACTTCGGGGCACTGGAATGTTCTATTGCCAACTCTATCAAGAAAGTACCGAATCATCCATTGAATGCTCGCGTCTCTTACGACCAAGGCCACGCAATTCCTTACCGGAACAGGCGCCTTGCGCCAGGTTCTGGCCAGCGTTCGTGCCTTGAAAATTTTCACACCAGCACTGCCGTCGAATGGAAGCACCGCTGAGGGAGACCGTTCCCTGTTTCATGTTGAATAGATGGGTAAGAACATACCACCCTGCAAAGTGCTGGGCGGCATATCGATGCAACCCAAGAGCGCCTTACGATTAGATGATATTCAACGGAGGCGTGAGCTAGTTACAGGGGCCGCGAGTTTGGGAGACCTTCTTGTAATGGGGAAGAGAAGCAATAAGTGAATTATCAGGACTTGGGTAACTTGATGGCAGCAGTATCAAGGGTTGGGCAGTATCATTTTATAGGTTGTATACAGGCACCGGTAGGCAAGTATCCATGTTTACGAGCTGGTGGCCTTTCTTCGGACATTCACTGGCACTGTTAGGTAAACGAGCACAGTAGGCGTCTTTGTACGAATCAATTACTCCCTCTCCTACCACATCAGCACAAAGGGCAATGTGGTTCTGTAGACCTCCGTAACTTTCATCGGCGATGTCTTGAAATCTTGTACTACTATCGCCAGGCAAAAGACTGCGTGGAGCCTACTCTGGTCTCGTCGCAGAAACTCTTGCCATCCTCCCCAAATAGCGTAACACTTCGAAGAAGGGAAATTCGGGTCGTGTCGCTATAGCAAGACCAAGAGTCAAAATGGCAGCATCGACATTTGATTAAGGCTGAGGATCCTAGCTACCTACCTAGGTAGGTAATTAGCCTATCTCGAAGTTAGCCACTCTCAATCATCAGGGAGCGGGTGGGTTTACTGGACCATGCAACGCGTCTCGCGAATAACTTCTGCGTGGGCGTTGAGCCGGAGAGATGGAAAGCCATGACAGATCGGGGTCTGCGGCCTTCTTATGGTTCCTTCTTCACGTCATCAAGCCATAGGCGAATATGCTCATCCTAGGGCATACCGGGCTTTTGTTCGGTTTTCAGGAAATCCTTGATCGTCGCAGCGTCTTCTCGTGCGACATTCGCGCGGTCAACGGTCGTGGAGGTCTCTCGCTTGGCTGAATAGTGTCGAACAAGCTCGCAATACTCTCTGAGGGCTTCTCTATCGTCACCAGGAGCATCGCGTGCCTGTCGTAGTACATCCACGCCATTCTCGTAGCCCATATCCTTGGTCCAGGGCTGGGTCGCCTTACGGCCCTTGTTGGACGCGGACAGAGTGCCATGATTGCCAGGAAGGCCTCCGTTGTTGGCCGGGGGGTCTGTGGCGACGGCAATATCCCAAAGGAGGCGTTCTAGGTTGGGATACTTGCGAACTAAAGTCTTGTATTCCGGCGTGTCGGCGATTCCGGAACGCTTGGACAAGTCTGGCTGCACACTATCTTCCTCAGTAGAGGAGGTGAAATCAGACGCATCCACACGGTCCATAGGATCCTTGGGCGCAGGCTCTTCAGATGAGTGAGCCTTGCGATGCGCTTTCGCGCACGGAAGCGAGCACCTGCACAATAAGTGAGAAAAATGTTAGATATATAAAGATCCAGAAAGAAATTTGTACTTACGTGTATTCATAGCAGTGGGGGCACTTATATTTGCCCTCGATGGCTTCGCACATCACGCATGGTGCTCTAGCGGCACCCATGGCGCAAATAGATGTTGCCTGATCTGGTTGGTCTGATGCTAATTGATTGTATTGAGGAGAAACAAGTGGGTGGAAGATTTAGATCGGATTTCAGCTAGGAGTATTGTAGGGAGAATGTTGCGGAGTAAAGCGCGTTGAGATATCGCAGTATAGACTGAGATAATATGCAAGTAGCGTTGTTATAGCCTGGATTCACAAAAACTTGAATCTGCGACGGGTCAGCGATTATCGAGACCTCTAATGCGCCTGGGTCCATACCGTAGGCTACCTGAGGTAACCAGGTGCCTGTGGTGCTCATGAATCGGAATCAGAGGTGTGCGCGGCTGGCAGCGTCGCGATGGACTGTGAAGGCGAGGCTGAAGAGAAGAAGCGCGGCTTGATGAACAAGGATAGGAGTCACTTAGCGTCCCGGTTTGCTTCGGTAAATTCCGGCTAAACCAATCAGAGCACGATACGATTAAGCATGTACCTACGTACTGCAGGCCTGTAATCCGTGCGCATCGGTAATCGAGGCTTTTTGCGTCATCGCCACTGATTGATAAGCCGCCAAATTTTTGTTGGTCGGCTTCTTTACCGGCGCAAATCGGTACGTTGGAGCAACGACTCTACACATGTTCAACTAGATCATTTACTTCTGTGTTTTATACCTACGAGCTTTAAAGACATCCAAAAACTGTATCATTCATCACCAGGAGCTTCTTTCTCGTCTCATTGCCTCATTGATACGTTAGACAAATCAGACGAACCGGAAGACTATGTCTTCAAGCCGAATCTACCGGCCGGCAGCATCGGTGTTGTCCGTAACGGCGAGAAGAGCACAGCCCATCGTATGTGGGCGCATCTACGGAGCTGCGCGACAGGCACATACGAGTTCACAGTCCCTGGGCATAACCGCGAGGTCTAGACCGACAGTGCAAGCGGCCCCGAGAATATCAAGGGTTGCGCCCCAAGGTGCCCGCAGCATCTTCATCCAGACCGAAACCACGCCCAACCCCGATGCGCTCAAGTTTCTGCCGAACCACAAGGTTCTACCTCAGGGCGTCTCCACGCCCTTCATCGAGTACCTTAACCCGCGGAGCACCATCGCCCCGCCGTACCCCTCGCCCCTCGCCGCGCAGCTGATGAACACGGACGGTGTGACTTCCGTCTTCTACGGCCCCGATTTCATAACGGTGACGAAGGCGTCGGACGCGAATTGGGTGCACATCCGACCCGAGATATTCAGTCTCATCACCGAGGCTATTACAGCAGGACAAGAAATAGTCACCGTGAGCAGCAAGGACGGCGCAGACGCAGGGCAGGAGGCAGTAGACGAGGATAGCCTGAGCTTCAGTGAAGACGACGACGAAGTTATTGGAATGATCAAAGAACTCCTCGAGACTCGGATACGGCCCTCGATCCAGGAAGATGGTGGAGATATCGAGTTTCGAGGGTTCGAAGACGGTTTCGTAAAACTCAAGCTACGAGGAGCATGCCGAACCTGCGATTCAAGCACGGTTACTCTGAAGAATGGAATTGAGGGGATGTTGATGCATTACGTGAGTATAACACACAAGCCCATAAGTCGGACACCTCGGGTAAGATTACGCTAACACAGTGGCCAGATCGAGGAGGTCAAGGGCGTACATCAGGTTCTAGACGAGGAGGAGGAGATCGCGCTGAAGGAATTCGCAAAGTTCGAGGAGAAGCTTCGAGCGCAAAAGGGGCCCGATGCAGCTCCGTCGACACCCGGCAAGGACTCGCTGGATTCAGTTCCCGGCTAAGGCCACGGCAAGCTACATCCGACCGGGGCGTTAATTAAAAGAATTTGCACATCTTGTGCAGAGACGTCCACTTAAAGTGTATATACTTTCTTCTCGTCACCATCATCGTCGGCGCATGAT